TTCTATAGTTGTGTACGGCCATGTGAACCGAGTCGACAAGATCTTTTACATGTTGTGTTACGACATTATAAATATTACAAATCTCTTTGTTAGACTATATCTAACAAACATTTGTTCTATTAGAGTCTTATTGTTGTTGGTTTCGTAATTTATCACGAACAGTTCAAGGGGTGTAATCCATTTTGAAGTTAACCGAGCGGGTTCGAAGCTTAGCGATCGGACTAACGTAAAAAGATCACTTTGCAATTCCATTGGAAGTATAAAAAAGAAAACAGAAATAACACGCACACAAGAAAGAAAAAATGTAGATTTAAATAAAATAGATTTAGATATAAATATTGATATAAAACGCTGGTTTTAGGACCAATTTGTGTCACATGCTGCCTTTAGGCAGTACATGTTATTTCATATCAATTTTATCGTAGTTCGCTCGTCACCCATATGATTTCAGAAAATCGACGGTAAAGAAGTAATTTGTTTTCAAGCCTCGTTGTAAGTGATATACTCATCTCTTAGTTTTGAACTGTCTTTAAAATTGCCTGTATCCGGTCTACAAAAGACATGCTCATCTGGAAATAAATGCGATGGTTTGGAATCCGGCAAAATAACCTTCCGAATGCGTCTGTTATCGACCTTCCTTTGGTAAAACACGTTCACTCCTTTGTGTGTCAGATAACACAGTCTTGCAAAATATATGATTTTATTGTTGATCATGTTTTCATTTTCTTTACAAACCATTCCCAAAACAACAACAATAGTAAAAGATGATTAACATTATGATATACGTAACAGAGTTGATACATGTTACTGTAATATTCACATATATGATTGTGTCTTTTCATTAAACAGCGGGGTGTCAGAAATAATGTCATACTTTGCCTTATCTTGTCATGCATTGTAAGCCATACGCAAATTTGCCAACAGAACTAATATTGCCAGTTTTCAGTGTAAACAATGTACACATGTTTGTAAAAATATTATACATTTGTTGACTGGGTTTGAGGTCATCACGTGTAATGTTAAACCAGAGGACTTAACTGTTGCCTGAGACCGAAGGTCTATTGCTTAATGGCGGAAATCATCGAATATCGACCGGTAAGTACCGAACAGTAATGAGTTGTGACGTAAGCAGTTAGCGTGGAGATGTTGACCTTTGGAATTTCAAACTTTATTCAGAAAAAAATATAGAGAATAAATTATAAATGTTTAACAAACGATTTTAATTATTGATATGTCCGTCAACCTGACGTTTTGAATACTCTGCTCTATGTTGATATACAATTGAATAGAATGGAATAGAATTATGTGAAGTTTCCCGGTGTAAATCCGTGAACCATACACTGAATCACATGCCTAGTACAACTTTTCACCGCTCAACAGTAACGTGATTGTCTGTCAAGAATTCGGGAAGAAGACTGACCACAAGACACACACATTTCATGGCTAAATACAGTAGAGCCAAAGAACTTCACAACAGAGCTGTTTCGCCCTTTTAGGATTCGTCTGTGATGCTACGGGCCTAAATTTTGAAGTCTAGGAGGCGACTGAGGGAGAACAAAATTTAGATGAATTAAAATATGAAAATCTTGATGTGAATGTGCACCGTACACTAGAACCATGCTTTAATTTTTAGATATTTAGTAAGTAAGTCTTGTGCCACAATTCCAATGCCATATACCCATTATAAGAAATGTTCTCAATGTGAGCTGTAAAATTACTGGCTTATAAATTTGATTTGACCGAAAAAAGTACCATGCCAAAATCAGGATTCCTTAAAAATTAATATAACGATATTTTTGTTACTGTCCAGTTCAAAGACACTTTTGAGCCCCTTGCAAAGTCGAAAGAACTGCTGAATTGGGCATCGTGTTGGAATTCTCCGTGAGATTTTGCTCGTATCGAAATATTTAAGCAAGATTATGCTTATTTTAATTCTGAGAGAGACACTCCCATCACATCCACTTTTAAGCGATACATTTCATATGCTCATCGCCCTATGATATTTATCAAAACGAAAGAAAACAATCTTGTTTACGTAAGGAACTGGTCCTCAACGGTTCCAAAAAACCGGAGACGCTCTATCATATATACTGCTATATGGACGGTGGCAATGTTTTCACTTTAAATTTACCAGGCACATCTCCAATGTGCTTTACACACACACAAGTTGTCTCCCCTGTTGAAATCGTCAATATTAGTGACAAGCAATGGTTATCATTTTTTTTTATAAAATCATGACATTATGCTGTTCTGAACTTAACATCTCTTGCTAAAAGTAAATAGTTGATATTGTTTTCAACAACAACAAGAAATACCAACAAGTCAACAACATCTTAACTTACACAAAGTCAGAACATGGTCAATTAAAACAGAGACCATCAAAAACATATATGGAAAATGTTTGCTTCCTCGACAACATCCACCACGTAAATCTTGGTCAATCCATGTAACAAGGCATATTGGTGGTTAAAGTTGCTTCCACTACAATAATCCACAAACAGAAAAAAGTCTCTCAGAACAGTTCGCACTGGTGAGACCATTCCGTGCCAGCACGACACAGTGACCTTCACCTAGGTCAGGGTTGCCAGGAGACCAGAGGGCGCTGTTCATCACTTCACCGTCACTGTACTGACATTGGTTAGACACGTACATCCCGGACACGAACAAATGGAAGTGATATTGGTCTGAAAAGAAATTCGAGAAATTCTGGTAATTGTAGGATAAAAAAGAATGTATGATAAAATACACACAATTACTACTGACAAGCGTGAATCAATGAAACAAGGTGTTAACTTATTATTCATTTATAAATAAAGAGCAAGGAGGTTTTTATTCCTTAAATCATAAATATCTATTTCGCTCATATTTCCCTTTTTTAATAATAAACTGACTTCAATCATTGGCGTATTTTTTGAAGATGACAAATAAGAGACCGTATCAGTCACCGGAAACGAGTCTGACCATGTACATTCGCACTAATACTCCTACCCAGTATTGTATTTCCAGCGACGATGGTCTGCAGACTCAACATTTCCGACTCGAAGGCGATCTTGAGTAGCTGTGAGTGTTGTTGGATACACACATTGGAGGCACTTGTCTGATTCAGGCTGACTCCGTTCACTCTGTAGATAAGGCTCTCGTTCTTGATTTGACGGTAGCCAAGTGACGTGAATAATCCTTAAAAGAAAGTCATATAGGGGGAGGGTTATACTCTAGTGCTGATGTAAAGACACGAAGTAGAAGCATTTCATCTCCCTGATGGTAGAGGGACAGCGGTACTTATATATACACAACATTCTTTCTCACTTATTTATATAGCTAAGCAAATCTCATACCTCTTTTCACAAAAGATGGTGTCAGTCCAGTAGAGAACGCCGAGTATGTGGTGGGTGTTGACACAAATCCACGGCAATTTCCCTGGTTCATGTCAAAACTAAAGAAACCACACTCCTTGTCCTTGTGACATTGCTGATCGCACTCTGGGAGGGAACTTGACAGTGTCTCAAACAGAACATGTTGTGTATAATCTTGAGATGGCAACAGTGGCACTCTGTAAAATTCAGAACGACCCTCTGGAATACAAAATAAAGATTCTAAACTGATCTGAATTATACATGGAATTCAGCGGCAGATAAAGCAGAGGTAATGAAGACTTTTGGATGACGCTGTGATGAAGAGAAATACTACAAACGAGAATTGGCGAAAGTGTTCCGTACTTGTTTCTTTGACTATGTAGCAGCCGCTGACGTCAAAACGGAGACTTATGTGATGATTGTAGCTTCTTGGATTAATTCGGAGATAAACGGTAGTGATGCTGGGAACGAGGCTGGACTTTACCACAGTGTTCGTGTCATTGTTTCCGATGAACAACTGAAATTATGCAGATTTAGACTTTACCACGGTGTTCCTGTCACTGATTTGGAAATATGTGAAGTTATACACTTGTAAATTCAAACTTACAAGAAAAAAGCAAATTTCTTATGTCTAAGTTATAGAAGATTTCAATTCAAACAATACAAATCTTTCTTTTGATTAATGCAAAATTCTAAAGCCATGTACTTGAGCAGCCTAGCAGTCACTGACTTCACATTCAGTCTAAATAATCTGTTCGATACAAACCATATCATACGTCCTGTATACAGATATATGGTCCTTTATACAGATCAATGTGTAATGACGAGCAATTTGCATTACTTTTTATTAAACACAATTTTTTGAACCAGCAACAAATTCATCCAGAACAGAGAGAAAGTTGGGAAGAGAAAAGTTTATACACAGATAGTGTGGAGGTATGAGTTTCTGGGGGCTGAACACTGGATAAAAGTCACCTGAATGGTTACACAGATAGCCACAGATTCGAGATTCAGCGAGGATCAAACGATATAGATGATCATGGTTAGGTATGCTACAATAATTTCTTAGAAATTAAAACATTAAGCCGACAGGTTCCGTGATAAAGACACACGGAGGCTTATGATATCTAGAATTTATGACAGTTTTGAATCTGTTAACTGTAGTTTTATTTCTAGTAGTCTCTGAAATGTGAACGCGACCCCACTGATACATTTTCTAGTTATTGTCTGAGAGGAAGAGGAGTTATATTCCCTACTAAACCCGGAAAAAATCTTCGAAGATTTGATGTATTTAGTCTATCATGAATTTTGTAAATTATACTAATCTTTTTCTGTTCTAGTTTTCAAAGTATCCGGTTGCAAGATTAAAACGTTAAGCATTTTTATATACTGGCGAGTCAGTTTCTACTCTCGCAGATTCCGATGGAATTGACAACAACCATTTCGAGGTTCATACAAGAAACACATCTTCCATTGCAGGCAGAATCAAAGAAAAAGCCAAGAGATTCCAGAGAGATCTTGTCGAACAATATTGTTCGGTCTTTATTTGTTCTTTAAAACTTTTATGATATTTCCCCTCCTTTTCTATTCTTTCTTTTACTTACATGATATTTGAAAATTCTTTTAAGTAATAATGTTAGTTTTCAAATACAAGATGGTCGTCTGTAGGCCATTTTAGCATTATGATTAATCCCAAAATCAAAAGGGCAAAACTAGGGACCAAGGCAAAACTACTTGAGAAAGATCCACCAAGTATTTCTCAAGAAATAGTGATAACAAACTTTCACATCCAAAATCCAAGATGGCCGCCCGCCGTACATTTATTTCTGTAAAGTACAAAAATGGGAACATGCACAAATAGAGACCAAAAGGAACCACATAGCTTGTCGGCCATTTCGGAGTTTGGTTTAATCCCCAAAATCAGACAAAGCACAAAAACAGGGCAAACAGGAACCTCGAGAAAAAGGAATAAAAAAGAAATATATAACGACAGTCGGGCGGAGGAAGGGCGATTTCAACAACTTTGTGATGGATTGGAAAACTTAGTTTAGAATTATTCCTCTTTAATTCTGAAAAAAGGAATTAAACATTAAGTTCAGCAGAAAAGATACAACCTACCTGTGGTTGTTGGTTTGGTGACGTCACGTTGACCCACATGATGCCATCCATGCTGTATAGGAGATAATATGTCTTGACAAATTGATATGAAACGTCTCCTCGTCCCTGTAACATCACGGCATCAACTGCTATCTCTCTCGGGAATCGGACCTGAAACACACATCTATACTGTATCATCACGGCATCAACTGCTATCTCTCTCGGGAATCGGACCTGAAACACACATCTATACTATATCATCACGGCATCAACTGCTATCTCTCTCGGGAATCGGACCTGAAACACACATCTATACTGTATCGTCATGGCATCAACTGCTATCTCTCTCGGGAATCGGACCTGAAACACACATCTATACTATATCATCACGGCATCAACTGCTATCTCTCTCGGGAATCGGACCTGAAACACACATCTATACTGTATCATCACGGCATCAACTGCTATCTCTCTCGGGAATCGGACCTGAAACACACATCTATACTGTATCATCACGGCATCAACTGCTATCTCTCTCGGGAATCGGACCCGAAACACACATCAATACTATATCATCACGGCATCAACTGCTATCTCTCTCGGGAATCGGACCCGAAACACACATCTATACTGTAACGTCACGGCATCAACTACTGTCTCTCTCTGGAATCGGACCCGAAACACACATCTATACTGTAACATCACGGCATCAACTGCTATCTCTCTCGGGAATCGGACCCGAAACACACATCTATACTGTAACATCACGGCATCAACTACTGTCTCTCTCGGGAATCGGACCCGAAACACACATCTATACTGTAACATCACGGCATCAACTGCTATCTCTCTCGGGAATCGGACCTGAAACACACATCTATACTATATCATCACGGCATCAACTGCTATCTCGGGAATCGGACCCGAAACACACATCTATACTATATCATCACGGCCTCAACTGCTGTCTCTCTCGGGAATCGGACCTGAAACACACACCTATACTGTATCATCACGGCATCAACTATTGTCTCTCTCGGGAATCAGACCTGAAACACACATCTATACTGTATCATCACGGCATCAACTGCTATCTCTCTCGGGAATCGGACCTGAAACACACATCTATACTGTATCATCACGGATTCAACTGCTATCTCTCTCGGGAATCGGACCTGAAACACACATCTATACTGTATCATCACGGCATCAACTGCTATCTCTCTCGGGAATCAGACCTGAAACACACATCTATACTGTATCATCACGGCATCAACTGCTATCTCTCTCGGGAATCGGACCTGAAACACACATCTATACTGTATCATCACGGCATCAACTGCTATCTCTCTCGGGAATCGGACCAGAAACACAGACATATACTGTATCATCACGGCATCAACTACTGTCTATCTCGGGAATCGAACCTGAAACACACATCTATACTATATCATCACGGCATCAACTATTGTCTCTCGGGAATCGGACCCGAAACACACACCTATACTGTATCATCACGGCATCAACTACTGTCTCTCTCAGAAATCGGACCTGAAACACACATCTATACTGTATCATCACGGCATCAACTACTGTGTCTCTCGGAAATCGGACCTGAAACACACACCTATAGTGTATTATCACGGCATCAAGTACCGTCTCTCTCGGGAGTCGAACTAGAAACATACATCTATACTGTATCATCACGGCATCAACTACTGTCCCCTTTGAAACACACAGGGCCTGTAACGTTTTTTTTCTGAAGGATGAAGACTGGTATACAACAATATATAAATAATATATAATTAATAATATTACGAAATACCAGAGGAAATTTCACCATTCTAAGAAAAGTCGCCTGCATTTGGCCAAATATTGTTAATTTCTGATACTATTGGTACCAGCATGAGCAAATATAAATTACCGTCTAGGAAACCACGTCTGAAAATACAACAGACTAAATTTAAACTGCTTTCGCTTAATAGCGAAACAATACCGGGAAATCTAGGGAAAACCAACATCGTATACTTAACACATTTCAACATCAAAAAATGAATTTGTGCTATACAAAAATGTTCGTTTACATTACTTCTACGTGGATTTTCTGTGAACATCTCTTGTCGTTATAATGACAAGATCTCCTGTTTCTATACACACGACATAAAATAAAAGCGTTTGTACCTTGTATCATCCACGTGCTGCCATTATGGCGGCGCTCTGTAAAAACATATCCCCCAGAACCAGAAGGTACGTGGTTGGTAGGTAATTCATCGAAACAAATTAATGCTTGCATGACTTGGTTAAGATTTCCAGAACTTAACTTAAAATCATTCTTATCTCTGTAACAACTTTGAGATGTAGAAATGTATCCCTTTTCACGTCACTGTTTTGTTTCGTCTCACACAAAGTACTTTAGTGTATACCGGGTTGTGAAGTGATAAAGTATACCTGATAAATTTCAAGATTAACACATATACCTTTTAATTTTAGATTTGTCATTAAGCGAGGTGTGTTACTGTCTTAAGTAGCTTTTTCATACCTGTATGTACGGCTGATTATCATTCTTGCCCGCACACCAAGCCGAGGCAATTCCTCCTAAGTTTCCATTAAAATGTAGCCTGGCGTTTTGGGGTTTGTGGTCAGGTGTACTCCATACAGACGAGGCGGTAATAGCTGAGTCATCTATACCGTAAAGTCCAGACATGAGGTACTCCGAACAGATCGTCTGGTCTAAAAGGAAACAAGCAAATGTATACAAATATGAGATACTCCAAACAGACTTCATGACCTTAAACAGCAGAAACACCAAACCATCATGATGCAAAGAGTATGGACATCACCAGTGACAGTTTACAGTCGCAAAGTCATACACTCAATTCATTCAATTCAATCACACTCGCACTTCATCATCGTCATCGATCGACTCACACATGGGCAAACATAATGCAACTTTCAATAATGATAATGATTGGAGGAGCCAACAGCGACACGCCACCTTGCGGCGGGTCTGTTGGAACTTCTTTTTTGTATGAACGGAATATCAGTTCTGTTCACTTGGTGTGTGAACCGCTGTCATTCAATCAGAGACGTATATATCACGATTCAATGATGTAAACACAACACGGGACTACAACATCATGAAATATCCAAAATCTTTCTTTGTATACAAACAATAAACAACAAATAAACAATGGTTTTATAAGGGGGGAAATCGGTTATCTGATACTTTTACACATTGCCGTTTGGAATGTGACGGGTACTTCATGAAGGAATTTTAAATGACCGAAAATGGCGCGAATAGGCTGTCAATGACGTCATGTCATGTCACGCCAGCTGTTATGCGTAGCTATATGTTATAAAATAAATCCTTTTCTACCATAACCTGCGTTTGTTATCTCACGCCCAGACTATTCATTAAACGCCATATCCATTGTTTATTCATACGCATAATACACACGTGTATTATTGGTGACAGCCAAATCTATTGGACGAGGCATTGACATTTGACCCAACCATGATCTGTTACCCCGAACTACTTTCGCCACGTGCGATTGTTGTCATAGTCTGCTGTCCATCATCAACATGGCTGACAGTGACGATCTGTCACTCTTGTCGATGGTCAAGATCGGCGATGCGGTAATACTCTGTGGAGGGTGAAAGGCGATAATAATTGGTAAATGCTGTAATTTTGGTTTCCCAACCTTTTATATTAGGTTGGAGACGTCTGAAACGGGTATAGGCCTATATGCAACCAGCCACATGAGGTCAACGGCGAATGTGACAGGGCAGCCATTTCATTCTGTCATCGGTGGTCCAGTGTATGGAGGCACAATAAAAATCAACATTCACAATAATAAATCTTTCTCTCGAAAACGGCCAATGGTGATGTACAGTTCTGATGAAAATGATTAGAAGTTCTCGAAATTTCACGCCATCTTAATCGTGTCTGCATTCACATTTTCCCGCGAAGAAGCACTACTCTTATCCACAATAAAATCTAGTTCCAAATTATTTTTATTTAAAAGATTAACAATTTGTGTAATTTTGTAACGTGTTTCATTGAACTAATGTTAAGAGATGTTTCCAAACAAGATTACTGAATAAATAAGTGTTTTGCTTCAAAAATAGCGATTTTGTCACTTTTTGCATATTAATGAGCCAAATGAGCCAAACAGACAACCTACGATGTATTCTTACGCGAAAGTGTCAATGGGGGCGAAACAATGTTGTACAATATATCTATTTTTACGTTAAAAGGTTATGGTAGAAAGAGGTTCTACAACGAGTGGAAGTTGATTATCATCGTTATCAAACTCTCGTTGGTTAATTTTCAAATTTGGAAAAGTCACTCGGCAAAGCCTCGTGTCTTTTCTAAATTTTAAAATTAACTAACTCGAGTTAGATAACGATGATAATCAACTTCCACTCGTTGTAGAACCTCTATATATCAAATTTATACATTTATGTGGTATTTATGTGCTAATTTTATTTTTGAATCCTATTTAAGAAACGAAAAACTGAGTATTTAGAATAGACAATCTATTCATGGTGCTAGAGCCGAGCATGTTTGGGTGATTGGTATGTAACGAAAACTGAGCTTTGATAGGAATTTCTGATTTAGTTTCATACTGGTATGAAAGAGAAAACTTGTCTGAAAACATGAATTCGCTTTGTGCCTTCATTTAGTTTGCAAACCATACCATCCAGACATGAGGCGTTCTGAACAAATTTCAAGGTCTTAGAGAGAGCAAACATCACTGAACACCATACCACCCAGACATGAGGCGTTCTGAACAAATTGCAAGGTCTTAGAGAGAGCAAACATCACTGAACACCATACCACCCAGACATGAGGCGTTCTGAACAAATTTCAAGGTCTTAGAGAGAGCAAACATCACTGAACACCATACCACCCAGACATGAGGCGTTCTGAACAAATTTCAAGGTCTTAGAGAGAGCAAACATCACTGAACACCATACCACCCAGACATGAGGCGTTCTGAACAAATTTCAAGGTCTTAGAGAGAGCAAACATCACTGAACACCATACCACCCAGACATGAGACGTTCTGAACAAATTTCAAGGTCTTAGAGAGAGCAAACATCGAAGACGAAGGCGATAAAATAAAAGACAT